CCCCCCCAGGCTCCGCGCACTCTCCAGCGGGGGCAGCGTGGCTTCCCCGCCGTCCTCCCCTGCCATGCCAAAGTACAAACTAGCCGAGTACCGATACGGGCGGGAAGAGATGCTAGCACTTTACGTCAAGGACAATAAGGTGAGCCCGGGAGGGCCCCGAGAAGCGGCCGTACGTAGGAGCGGTGGGGGGGGTGGTGGTGGCCTGGGCCCGGCTGGGGTTGGGGAGATGCTCTCTAGGGGCACCCCTTGAGGAAGCGGTGGGCCAGCGGGGCAGCACCGTCGCTCTCCCGTCCTCTCGGTCGGTCGGGGTTTCCCAACTGGGCCACCTTAGAGGACGCGTGGACTTCCAACTCCCAGCATCCCTCATGGCTGGCTGAGGGGATTCTGGGAGTCGACCAAGTCGTAAAGGTGTCCGAGTTTGGAGAGCTCTCGGTCCACGCCACGGGCTCCCACCGTTCTTGCTTCCCCTCCCACCTTTCCCGGCAGCTCCCTGATGAAATCCAAGACCGGGAATTTTCGGCCATCCTGGAGGAAGAGCCTCTGCAGCCCCTGGCGTTGGTCCCGTTGACCGAAGAAGAACAGGTGAGTTTGGGGCGGCCGCCAACCCTCGGGGAAGAGGTCGGAGGGGGCGATGGCCGGGAGGACAACGGCCCTGGCCCTTCCTTCCTTCCCTCTCTCACCTCTTTTCTCTCCTCTGGCCTCCCCCCCCCAGCGGAACTTCTCCATGTCCGTCAACAGCGTGGCTGTGATGAGGCTGATGGGTAAGGGGGCCGGGGTGGCCCCCGCCGGGGTCTCGCGGGGGAGAGGCAGCACGCGGAGCCGAGGTAAGTAGACTTTGGGGTTGGGCCCCCTCGCCCCCTTTTCACGAGGGCGGTCCCCTTTTCTGACGTGTCTCCTGTCTGACCCCCCTTCCCGAAAAAAAGCAGGCCGCGGGCGAGGCGAGAGCGGCTTTTACCAAAGAAGCATCGAGGAGGCGGAAGGCGGGGCCTTCGGCCGAGGGGGAATCCGCGAAATCCACCGCAGCCAGAGTTGGGATGACCGGTGCGTAGTATGGTGGTGGGGAGGGGGGAGGCGTAATTTGCACGGGGACGTAGTAGGGCCAGCCGGCCTGTTTTCCCCCCTGTGCTTTTTAACACCCTCCTTTTCTCGCAGAGGGGACCGGCGGTTTGAGAAGCCCATCCGGCGGGAAGGAGGTAAGTGTGGGGCAGAGGAGATCCTCCCCGTGGGCGCTTCCCCCCCCCCCAACGGAAGGAGGTGACGGCTGCTCTCTTTCCTAGCCCGGGCCCCCTTTGAGGAGGGGGCTCCCTCCAGTCGCAAAGACTTTGCTCGCTCGGACAGCGACAACTGGCGGACGCTGCGCGAGGAGCACGAGGAGGAGGAAGAGGGTGGCAGCGGCGGCAGCAACGCGGCGGGCGGGGCAGGAGGAAGCTGGCGTCAGAGCGGGGCGTCCCGGCGTGAGAGCGAGCGCTGGCGGTCGGCCAGCCCAGGTGAGACACTAGCAAACATACGTTAGTCCCCACACCCTTTTTTTTCTTTATTTCAACGGCCCGTAACGAGTTTGTAAATAGTCCCATGGAAGTTCAGCCAAAATCCTTCGGGAGCAGTCTGATCAGCACCCACCTTTATCCTCCTTGAATGCTGCCAGCAACTAAATATCCAATTAGTTACACGAACCAATCAAACTAATCAGAATCGTTATGATATGTACAGAGTAACCCTTGAGTAACAAGGATATGCTCATAGAAACATTTATGAGAGTAGTTATGAATAATTATTCAGCCACACACAGATACACTAAGTTGAGTTAAAGTTTACTTTAAGAAATAGCACAGCCCAATAAACGGTCCAGGTCAGGTACGTTTTACAGTCCAAAGAATATCCAACTACAAAGTCTTCTTACCGGTTGCCTTAGTCATTTCAAGTATAATCAACCCATCGGAATATAGTATAAAAATCAATACAGTGATTTTGTCTTCAAGCTACAAATGTACTTTGTTGGTTTATATATTGCCAACCGAACTAATTGGTGGACAGGATTCCTAACCTTAACGAACAAAGTTGCTTCCTGCAAAGGCTCCTGTCCCTTTGCTCCTCCTTTACGTCCTACGGGAGGGGCCAGTCACCTCCAAGACTTACTCTCTCTGTGTTGCCCCTTTTGTCTTAACCGTTCTTGCCTTCTGGCAGCTGTGTGCACTTGCACAATGAGAAGAGGTTCCCTGTGGTCCTCTTCCTCGCTGCTGTCAGATTCTGGAGGCTCCGGAGTCCTCACGTAAGTCCCACATGGCCTTGGCCCCATCTCTGTGTTGGGCTGCCGGTGGGCCACAACACCTCCTTGGGAGTCGTGGGCCTGGCTCCCAATTCCTCCGGACAATACAGGGGGTCGTTGACTTACCAACAATCGGTTTAGCAACCGTCCGACGTTAAGAAGGGCACTGAAAACCGTAATTACGATCATTTTTCACACTTAACGACCGTTGCAGCATCCCGCATGGGCCCGTAATCAAAATCGTATGCTTGGCAACGAGCACGTCCTTATCTTCGGGGGGTCGCGCGATCCCCTTTTGTGACCTCGTGAGAATGTATCAGTTGCCCTCATGAAATCGTGAGCCTCGAGCCAAGCTTTTCAAAAACTTCGAAGGATTTATTGGGAGCAAACATGTCGGCATAACCTGTATGTAGCTGACTCTGAGACATGCAATATACTGTCACCTCTGGCCCTGTTTCCCCCACCCCCACCCCTCTGGGTGTAATGTTCATATTCTCCAACCAAAACATGTTCATAGCTGAGCGTCAACAATCACATTCTCCAACTAGGGATTCATATTCCCCAACCGAAACACCTTCATAGCTGAGAGTCAACAATCACATTCTCCAACTAGGGATTCATATTCTCCAACCGAAACACCTTCATAG